GGGGGGGGGGGGCAGAGAGGTTTCTTTTGTCTGCTGTTCAGCAGCCTGTTGCTCAGGGGAGGGGGCAGCCTGTTGCTGGCAGGGGGGTGGGGGGGGCAGCGGGCGTGGGGAGGCACTTTTCCTCTGCCCGGCAGCTCTGCGGGACCCCAGTCGGAGCCGGCCCGAGGAGGAGGAGGATCCTAGGACCCAGGTGAGCGAGCCCCGGGAATGCTGCTGCGCATGTGCGGGAGTTGCCTCACCCCGTTCGTATCTAGGGATCCGACGTAAGTCGGATCCACGTAAGTCGGGGACTGCCTGTATAGGCATCTAAGACACTGATTTGATTTTGTCCCCCAGTTCTGCCTTGTCCCTCCTTTATCTCTGCTATTATAGGGCATGTTCCCTCCCATTTCTGAGCCATCTCCCAGGTCTCCATGTTTTTCACTTACCTGTAGGCTTTGGTCACCTGTCCCCGTCAAACCTAGTTTAAAGCTCTCCACACTAAGTTAGCCAGTCTGCATCCAAATACTCTCTTCCCGTTCCTCGAAAGATAAAACCCCATCCCTGCTCAGCAGTCCTTCTTGGAACAACATCCCGTGGTCGAGGAAGCCAAAGCCCTCCTGGCAACACCATCTTCACAATCAGGCATTCACCTCCAGGATGCATCTGTCATTGCCACACCCATGTAAAGTAGGGGAGGAACATTATCCCCATTGCACAGATAGAAATTGTGATACAGAAAGATTGAGTGACTTGCCTATGGTCTCGTAAAAAGTGTGTGGTACATCCCAGAATAGAACTCACCTCTCCTCAGTTATAGTAAAGTGCTACCATGTTTTATGCTGACCAGATTGCAGGGACAAGGACAAGGACAAGGACAAGTTTCCTAACCTACAAAATACAGCATGCTAGATTTATATGCATCACACCAAGGAACAGGAACAGGAACATCACTGGAAAATTCATTTTAAAAAAACTAGATAAAACGCCTTGCTCCCGTCCCCCAGCACATGCTGAAGAAGCCATTTAACCTACAACCAACAAGACAAGTATTTAAAACTGTTACATCATTTGATCTGACATTGTGAATACTGTAAAAGTTAATTATAGAGTTTGGGGTGGCATTATCAACAATCCAGGGTGAATCAGTTCCTCTTGGCTCAAATTGACACAGATATGCACAGCAATGTATTGAATTTGCATCAAAAGTAACAGGAGAGAGGGGAAATATACAACAAGGGGGAAAAATCAAAGCAAAGATGTACAAAAGGCATGAAAACTATTCATTATCCTGCAAACAGAAAATGATTGATTCCCAGAATGGTCCAAATGGCAAAGACTGAAATGTGTCTAGTTTCAATGGCACCTCCCTTGTTTTCAGAATAATATTTCCTGAAAAGCAGCAAACTTGTACAAGTGCAGATTAGATTTGCCCTTTGGCTGCTTTTAATTTCTATCCCTGTGTTGTTTACTCAGATAATTTACTGGTTTGCATCAGTTTTTGTTTGTGGGAGTGTCTTGGGAATACTGTGCAGTAGATGTTAATTAACATTTTAAAGGTCACTTTCTTCCTGGTTCATAGCACTCATGATATAAGATGGGAGATGCATGTATTCCAGGCTGCAGCAAAAGCAGGGCTCTTGCAGTCCCACATGTTTGGGTGTCTGCTCATTTCAAGTGGCTACTTTTTGAGTGTCCATCGTGAGATTCATTGGTCCTGTTTTTCAGAGTTGCAGAGCAACCACTAGGCCCCCTGATGTCTGTGGAGCTATGGATAGTGGTGTAGATTAAGGAAAACCTCTATCTTGACTCTCCATACAGTGGGCTATGGTGGAGAAATGTTCCAGGCAGCCGTAAATGCATCTTAAAGTGACAGGCTACATTTTTCATTTCATCACCACCCCCACCCCCAAATTTTTACTTAACCTGCATCAGAAGCCCAGGCTACATTCATCAGGCCATGGTCACAGAACAGTTGCCAGGGATACTTAGAACTGTTTAAGATTAGTTTCAAATGTATCTACATATAAACTGATCAGCTGCTAAGCCCAGACTGTGGCCCTGAAGCATCTGGGCTGAGCCAGACATGAGGGCCATATACTGAAATGAGAGGCTACCAGAGGCCCAGAATGGACGTGGAAAATATGAAAGGGTAGAAATTTGAGAGAAGCGAGGAGAGGCAGGGGAACCAGAAAGAACACCAGCTGGGGCACTTAGAGCAAGGAGATGAAGGAGTTGGAAGTGCAAGGAACTGCAGACCATAGATGAAGAGTTTTGGAAGGGGAGGTGATGGCCACAAGCCAATACCAAGGAGAAGCTTGGAAAGGGAAGAATGGATGGAGCTACATGGGCCTCCAAGAGGTGTGGACTGGGGATGCTGAGGACTAAGGTAAACCAAGGGAAGGACAAGGAAAAGGCTTTTCAGATTTGGGCCCAAGTTGAACAGCTCTAATACTAAATACTATTACTAAATACTAAATACTATTAAAAGCGCATAGCAAACTTCTGAACTATGTGTATCTCTGACTGGATTGTATCTAAAATGGGGTATAAATAGAATATCCTAGGAAAACTATATTTACCTGGAGCCAGTGAACAATCATTTGTTTTCTATGATTGAAGGAAAGTATAATTTGGTCAATTTTCTTGAGAGGGCTGAAATATAGTCACTCAGCCATTTGTCCTACAGCCAGTCTTTACATTCTGAGTCAATTAAAGGAACGGCATTAACTCATTAAAAGTCAGGAAGCTGAAAAGCAAACACAAAAGAGATCGGCCTGCTGTCCCTTTAACAAAGCTCCTCTGTTTTACAGCAGAAAGCAAGAGGAAAGCACTGCACCTGAGATCTACATTATTGAAACAGGTAGTCAGTCTTACAATCTTAATTAAAGAAAATCAACAATCTGAACTCACGATTGATGGCCAGGGAAGCAAAGCCAGAATCACGAACTTCAGAATTATCTAAGTTCCAAAAAGTCTTACTTAGGGAAGTGATTGGGTGGGGGTGAGGGGGTAGTTTCTACTGGTTAATAGTGTTGCCAGATGGTTTCAACAAAAATACCGGACACACTTGACATTACATCACAATCTATATTATATCTTATTTAGAAAATACCGGACACACATATTCTCCCATTTATATTTCCTCAATTTGTTTCCCGAACAGAAAGCTCAAATACTGGACTGTCTGGTTGAAAACCGCACACCTGGCAACCCTACTGGTTAGCTGAATCATTTTGGTATCTGGTTTCAGCTAAAAGGTTCTCCCAGAGGAAATCACTTGCTGCTTGTTGTATGGGCCAGAGCCAGCATTCTGTTTTTCCTCTGTAACCCCCAAGGAGATTACCTAGATCCCCGGGGCTCTGTCTGCTGGCAGTTTAGGGAGAGACACACTGTCCCCGGTAGGTTGGGGGAGCCAAGGCAAACTCAGAGTCTGTCCAGCAACCAATAGGGAGTGAGATGCCCCTCCCAGGGAGTTCAGGAAAGGGGAGAGGCCATTGTTTTTTATGAGTCAGTCTGGAGCCAGCCAGGGCAAGCGCAGGGCTGGCTGTGTGGGAAGCTGGTAAGCCCCAGGCCTGCATGCAGAGTTCCCCCTGAGAGCTGGCCTCTAGGGACCTGAAAACAAGACCCCTCCGCTGTGTTTTCCTTCCCAGTTTGTAGAGTTTGCTGGGAAACTTCCCCAGCCAAGCTGAGTTAGCCATCCAGCTCCCTAGGTGGGACCAGTCACCACATGGTCAGCTCTGCTCTGCCTGTTAGTTCAGGGCTGCTGCTTGCTGTGTGTGTCTGGATGCTGGGCCAGGAGACAAGTTTGGATTTTAGTACAGTTGTGTAATCTGCACCTTGAGCCCTGCACCCCGTTGTGCTGAGGGGAAATCTTGGGACCAAAGCAGCCTGATTCCTGCCTGAATAGCATCCCTGCTAGTGTAACCACCATCAGGCATATTTGAACTTGGGATCTCAGAAGCAGAGTATAGACGTCTCTACCCGCTGAGCTAAACGCCAGCCCAGCCCATGCTGTAGAGGTCTCTTGATCTTAACTGTTGCTGTGGTCTATGTACCACTTGCATTGCTCAGTAACCACACTGTTTCAGCTACACCAGACTAACACGGCTACATTTCTATCACTATTCTACATGTGTGGGTTACACTAGCAGAGATCAGCCCCTCTGCAGTGACCGAGGAGTCCAGAGTCATCTCTAAACCAGAGTATCATTCATGGAGTTTGTGAGTGCACCATCTTTTAGTTAGTCAGGGAATTTGTTTTGGGGACCCCCTACTCCCTGAACTGTGTCCTCAAGCCAGGGAGTAAGGGTTTGGGGATTTTATAACCTGCTGCATATTTAACCTGTGGAGGGATTTACCACCGTCTCCTGCTTGAGAGTCCTTTGGGCTGTACTGAACCCAGTCAGCCACACTGCTAAACTACTGCGGAGAAGAATTTTGTGGGTCATAGGTCATCAAGGGCTCCGTAATCTTACATTTGCTACATCAAGTCACGTGACTGAGGAAAGTCACAGGTAGTAGCAGCATGGGCACCGGTGAACCTAAAAATAGTGTTTTACCTTGTTATGTTATAATTGTTTCCTGTTTAATATAATTATTGTGTTGAATATATTATATCTGTTTGTGTTATTTGTTGAAGTCTCCAACTATCTGGCAAGTAAGTGGGGATTATCCTGTGGTTAGAATTTTCCTCCCAAACTTCCCTGGTGACCCTGCCAGGAAGGAGTGAGGGGGGTGGAGGCACCGTCAAATAAATTCATAGGAAAAAATAAAGATACACCCTGCTGAGTGGGTGGCGGGATCCAGAAGAACCCAGACCTGTCCACCAAAACCTGTAGGCAGATTGGCCTTAAAGAAGGTAACCGGGTGGAGAGGGGCACTACACCTCTAGATCAGAAGTATAACAGTGCCACAAACACACTAATCATTTTGCCCTCCTGTTCTGTCCTACATAGCGTTATGAATGTTGCTTCTGAGGTAAAGTCAGGGTTCTCTGGGGCTCTGTCACTCAAGGAAAATCTCACCCCGTGGGGCTAGTATAGTAATTCAGCAAAATAAATTCTATCTTGACCATTCCTATATTGCCTTCCATTCAGAGTTCTTAAAGTGCCCCTCCCAGCCACTTCTAGCAAAAGGGAAGCTGGCTCACTAGTTAAGCTGTAAGCTAGAGACTTGGAAGACCCAGATATAACTCACTCACCGTTCCTCATCTGTATAATGGGGGTGATAGTTTAACCCACACACCTGGTGGGTGTGGTTTGCTGTCCCGTGTAGTAGTACTGAGACCACTTACAGCAAGAGATAGGAATGAGTGAGCTCTACAGCCTAAGCTGAGCCAGCTGGCTTTAAAACTCAATCTGTAGAGGCCCCTATGCTGAGCTTCTGAGGTACTAGGTTTGAATTGACCTGCAGGAGATTTCAATAGCACAGCTCCCCCTTGTCAAAGTTTTACCAGGAGCAATATACTTTCAAAATTGAAGTCCTTGGGACTTAAGAGTTAGGTATTTAACAGCTGGGTGCCCTGCTGCCCAGTGGAAATCACAGCCTCATGTTAGATGCCCAGACTCCCATGTATGTCATGTGGAGAGATAGGCACCTGAGGAAGGGTTTCACAGAAGCCAGTAACCTGAGTGTGGTGATGCTAAGCTAGGCAGTAGGAAATTCAGAGCAAAAGGCAAAGGGTGTGGCTTTCAGCCCAGATTCACAAATGGATTTAGGTTCTTAACTGATAGGTCCTGGAAGCCTTCTGAGTTAAGGGTACTAAGCAGGTTAGCAACATTAGGTTTCAGGTGTTTTTGCACATGCCCACTAATAATACCTTAGCCACCTGTCTAGGGACTTCAGCTATCTACAGGGTTAGGCGGTGGCAATGCACAGGTGTTATGAATGCCAGCAGCTCCTAAATATTAGACTTGGACATTTAAATAGGCAGTTAAATAATTATCCCTGGTCTACATTAGGGCTTTATTTCAAAATAACCCCCCCTCCCCTTCGGTCAAATTTATAAGTGGAGCATCCACACTACCAAGCCCACTATTTCAAAATAAGGGGCTGCCTATTTCAAAAGCTGTTCTCCTGCTTTTCTCAATAAATAATGCTAATTTTGAAATAGTTATTTCAAAATAGCAGGGGTGTTGGCACTCCGGTGCCGCTTTTTCAAAATAACTCACCAGAGTCATTCGAAGTAATTACACCCCAGTGCTTCCTGGGGCTCTAAGTAGAGGTAGTATGTCCACAATAACGGACTCTGCTTTGGACTAATTTTGAGGCTTTCCCGTACTAGGGTCATGCTATTTTGATTTTGTAAAATCGGGCGTTATTAAGTTGAATTTAATTATTTCAAAATAGTTTTCTACTGTAGATGTGGCCTTAGTGACCTACATACCTTTGTGAATCTGGTGCTCAGGTGCTGTAATGATGCGGACAATACAAATACCTAAGCTGGATAGATAGCTATGCCTCCAAACAGCTGTATGAGATACATTAGATAAGTGCAATATATGATAAAACTGGTTCACAGAGAAAATTTAAGGTTTCACTCCTATTCATGTGTAAAATTAAATTAATTAAATGTTGGCATCAGTCTTGTATAAGGCGAAAGGACAACATTTGCAAAAATTATTGCGAAAAAGTTAATTTTAAATCAAAATTGGTCTTTTAGAAAGAGCTGCAAGAGTATATCATATAATTAATATATGTACATGTCCACCCTTCCTACAGTAGATCGATTACAATAGATACCATGTCTGGGTGTGAATCTATAGGTAACAATGTCTATTTACATAAGAATAAGAAGCAGCCAAGGATTTTGCTCACATTACAATGATAGAAATTGTGTCTTGTGTATGTACTGCTGCCCTCTGCTGATAACACTAAATATGAAGCACGTAATAGCAATTTTCATCAAAGAGTACTTACAGGCATTATTCTCTCTGCACCTCCTATCCAACAGGTAATTCATATTGTTCCCATCTGACAATGAAGCAGTCTGGTTAGGTTGGACCATATAACAAGTTATAATTAGAACAGGTGTTCCAGGCTACCCATCATCCATTACATTATTAGACCTATTCTTCTCATAAGGCGTTAAATATGCCAGACCTAACATGCCCATAGATTCCTCCTGTTGACTGACGTGGCAGGGCTGCTCCTTTATTGCCAAACTAGAATCATGGGGTTTTTTTATTCAAATGTCACCTGTATGATAATGACCATACAATCCATAAGCAAGAATCAGACAGCTGAAATCTGTAAGTTGTGCCCTCTTTCACAAGCTGAATTTGGACTTACCATATATTCCTGTCTGACTAAAGTTCCTATAAGCCTCTGCCTCTGCTGAAGGGACTGCCCACACCTTAATGTCCAACAGATATTGTCCTCCTTTTGGGGAGAAATTAAGCAATACATTTTTTCCAGTGTATGTGTATTGTAAATCTTGTTAGGTCGAGCAAAATGGCTAAACCAAACAAGCTGAAACTCTGACGTCCCATTGTGGAGCAGGATGCTGCTCTATCAGATAGTCACCTCCTTACAAAGCATGGGAGAGAGAAGTCTCATTCTAAAAAGTAAAGGGGAACACTGATGCACTGTGTCAAAAGGGTCTTGCCATGTTAGGATTCCTAGCCCTTTCATGCAAAGCACAAACTCAGTCATGTGATGCAACCAAGAGAAGGGTAGGAAGCTTTATATAAAAAAGCAATAGTGTTCTGATATTTTTCCTCAGTTTTCTTCCTACTAGTAATTTATGAATGGAAAAGTGCAGTTTCAGCTCTCTAGCCATGCATCTGCTGAAGTATAGAATTACCTTAAAAATAGCATGGCTCTTACAGTCAATGTGGTGTGCAATCAGCATGCACCTCA